GGACATGATTTCTATAACAAGAATATGATACATTTGACAAAGAACTGATTGGAAGAAATGTTTCAAGCAAGAAGATTCAAACACAAACATACTAAACATGAATATAATCCTATAAACTATTCAATAGTTATTCAAAATACAAAAAAAAAAAAAGATGTAACCATTAAAAAAAAAAAATAAATAATAAAAAAATATATATATATACTGTATGTATGTATTAGGGCTGTCAGTTTAACATGTTAATTAGTTATGAAAAATAACACTTAAAATATTTTAACGCAGTTAATGCACTCTCACTCACTCACTCGCACACACACACTCACTCACTCACTCAATCTCTTACTCTCTCACTCAATCTCTTACTCTCTCACTCAATCTCTTACTCTCTCACTCAATCTCTTACTCTCTCACTCAATCTCTTACTCTCTCACTCAATCTCTTACTCTCTCACTCAATCTCTTACTCTCTCACTCAATCTCTTACTCTCTCACTCAATCTCTTACTCTCTCACTCAATCTCTTACTCTCTCACTCAATCTCTTACTCTCTCACTCAATCTCTTACTCTCTCACTCAATCTCTTACTCTCTCACTCAATCTCTTACTCTCTCACTCAATCTCTTACTCTCTCACTCAATCTCTTACTCTCTCACTCAATCTCTTACTCTCTCACTCAATCTCTTACTCTCTCACTCAATCTCTTACTCTCTCACTCAATCTCTTACTCTCTCACTCAATCTCTTACTCTCTCACTCAATCTCTTACTCTCTCACTCAATCTCTTACTCTCTCACTCAATCTCTTACTCTCTCACTCAATCTCTTACTCTCTCACTCAATCTCTTACTCTCTCACTCAATCTCTTACTCTCTCACTCAATCTCTTACTCTCTCACTCAATCTCTTACTCTCTCACTCAATCTCTTACTCTCTCACTCAATCTCTTACTCTCTCACTCAATCTCTTACTCTCTCACTCAATCTCTTACTCTCTCACTCAATCTCTTACTCTCTCACTCAATCTCTTACTCTCTCACTCAATCTCTTACTCTCTCACTCAATCTCTTACTCTCTCACTCAATCTCTTACTCTCTCACTCAATCTCTTACTCTCTCACTCAATCTCTTACTCTCTCACTCAATCTCTTACTCTCTCACTCAATCTCTTACTCTCTCACTCAATCTCTTACTCTCTCACTCAATCTCTTACTCTCTCACTCAATCTCTTACTCTCTCACTCAATCTCTTACTCTCTCACTCAATCTCTTACTCTCTCACTCAATCTCTTACTCTCTCACTCAATCTCTTACTCTCTCACTCAATCTCTTACTCTCTCACTCAATCTCTTACTCTCTCACTCAATCTCTTACTCTCTCACTCAATCTCTTACTCTCTCACTCAATCTCTTACTCTCTCACTCAATCTCTTACTCTCTCACTCAATCTCTTACTCTCTCACTCAATCTCTTACTCTCTCACTCAATCTCTTACTCTCTCACTCAATCTCTTACTCTCTCACTCAATCTCTTACTCTCTCACTCAATCTCTTACTCTCTCACTCAATCTCTTACTCTCTCACTCAATCTCTTACTCTCTCACTCAATCTCTTACTCTCTCACTCAATCTCTTACTCTCTCACTCAATCTCTTACTCTCTCACTCAATCTCTTACTCTCTCACTCAATCTCTTACTCTCTCACTCAATCTCTTACTCTCTCACTCAATCTCTTACTCTCTCACTCAATCTCTTACTCTCTCACTCAATCTCTTACTCTCTCACTCAATCTCTTACTCTCTCACTCAATCTCTTACTCTCTCACTCAATCTCTTACTCTCTCACTCAATCTCTTACTCTCTCACTCAATCTCTTACTCTCTCACTCAATCTCTTACTCTCTCACTCAATCTCTTACTCTCTCACTCAATCTCTTACTCTCTCACTCAATCTCTTACTCTCTCACTCAATCTCTTACTCTCTCACTCAATCTCTTACTCTCTCACTCAATCTCTTACTCTCTCACTCAATCTCTTACTCTCTCACTCAATCTCTTACTCTCTCACTCAATCTCTTACTCTCTCACTCAATCTCTTACTCTCTCACTCAATCTCTTACTCTCTCACTCAATCTCTTACTCTCTCACTCAATCTCTTACTCTCTCACTCAATCTCTTACTCTCTCACTCAATCTCTTACTCTCTCACTCAATCTCTTACTCTCTCACTCAATCTCTTACTCTCTCACTCAATCTCTTACTCTCTCACTCAATCTCTTACTCTCTCACTCAATCTCTTACTCTCTCACTCAATCTCTTACTCTCTCACTCAATCTCTTACTCTCTCACTCAATCTCTTACTCTCTCACTCAATCTCTTACTCTCTCACTCAATCTCTTACTCTCTCACTCAATCTCTTACTCTCTCACTCAATCTCTCTCTCACTCTCTCTCGCACACACACACACAAACACACTCTCACACACACACCCATATATGTATATATAATATCAGTTTTTTTTATGCTTCGTGCATAATATGAAATTAAGAAAATTCTAAATGCTGTAACAACATGGTAATAACATTCAAAAATTCGTATTTTTGTCATTCAGTTATTAATAAAAAGTTGCTGATCAAATACAATATGGTTTTATTTGAAAAATATAAAGTTGTAAAATAACATTTTGTTACATTACCGTTCTTTAGGTCCAAACAGACCCATAATGCAAAAAATAGAGAAAATAGATTTGAATGCATTATGAGGGTTAAGAAGTGAATCCAGTGTTTTTTCGGAGTGTGTATCTGTGTTTTGTGATCTGAAGCTTCTTCAGGAAAGTGTGTTTTATTGGGCATCTGAGCTCTGCTTTGACATGGATTGGTTTTGTCAGTCTCTCTGTGGATGAAGTTTAATAATTAAAGTTTTTTTTATTTTTATTTTTTATTTGTGTATTACATGTATATGCAGTTTTATTTTTAATTTATTCTATTTATAAGTTGGTTTAGTAGTTCAAATTATTTTATTTTTATTTTTTTAAAGAGAAAAATTACCTTGGCAACCAGATAAAATATTTTTTAAATATATTATTTTAACGATTTTTTTAATGCATTTAGTTTGTTAACATTTTTAGTTAATGGTAACAACCAATGGTTTATTTGTGCATGTCTTGTTTTCTTGCGTTAAGGGGTCAGAACCATCCTAGAGACTCGTTTGCACAATACATGTGACAGATATGTGCTACATATGTTGTGCTACTAATGTGCATCAGTTGTTTGTGTCCACCAGGTGGCGCCATCAGCCCATGAAAATGATAATAAGGCTTTTGCTGCATGCATGATATTCCCTTACTTTTAACAGCTGAAATAGTCGAGATTATAGTTTCTGCATGCTCACAAAACACTAAAACCACTCATATTATTAACTGATGTTCCTGCCGTTCAGTACAATGCTGTTAGGACATTGGCTCTGCTCTTAAGCTCCAGAAATTAAAGCACTTTTTTTTTTTCTTTTTGATCTGATGAAGCATTGACTGGATATATATAATATGTTTAATTTTAATATAGCCTTATTTTTTTTTCTTTCATATATTAGATTGTGACCTGTTCATTTATTTATTTTCTGAGCAAAAAACCAAAAATGACTGTCATGCATTGCTACAGTGTAACAGAAAACCAGAGGTGTGCTAAAACTAAATGTTCTCCAAATGTTAGTTTGGGTTCATTAAAACAGAACAGTATTCAAATCCTCTGTTCTTTTTTCTTTAGGGTTAGTATTTATAACTAGCTGAATATAAAACCATACTCTATATCTATGGAATGTCCACATTTTGATAGCTGAGTAAATGTTAAATTGTATCTTTTTCTCAGGACAGTATCAGTAAATAGCTTACTTTTGTAAATCGAACTGAAACTACTTTCGCTCAAGCCCCTGATATCACATTAACATTTAATCTGTAAATGACATTTATGACATTTCAGTATTTCTTTCCTCAAATACAGGCTTTACACAATATGTTTACCATTTTCAATATTTCCCTTTCCTCTGAGGATTGTTGCATTGACGTGTTATTTCAGTCAGAATTGCTTTAGAGTTTAAATGCTGACAGAAACAAGACACGGCAATGAATGAGTGAAAATCAGCATGAATTCATTCAAACCTGTCACAACACTGACAG